TTTGCCTGCACCTGATGTCGTTGTAGATGGGATAGGAATCTGGCCCCGATAGTGGGTTTGTTCTCGTTTTTGCTTTCCCGCGACGGGGGTCGCGATATGATTGCATTTTGCATAATCGACGATCTGAAGTCTGGCCCCGCGAATGCCGCGCGAGAACACGTGTAAACGCGATACGAGTCGCGCCCTTCCACATATTCCCGCGCGTCCACTCGCTCACTCGAAAAGGAATCACAACGGAACCATCATCCCGTACGAGCACGTTGAGGCGCCACTAACCGCATGACCTACACGTGCTCGTGCGCGGTGACGATATCCCGACCCACGCTATCCCACCGACGATGATACCATGACGCGATCTTGGGGCTCAGACTCATCCTATGACGCGGACTATTTCACCCCTATAATAAACGAGCTCATAAGGACACGATACCCCTGTCACATGGAGAATCGGCTGTGTCCGCGGGAATTCCACTGTGCTACCACTAACGACCCTAGGTGCTCCGATTTCCCTTCCCCCGACCACAACTACTACTTCACCTACCCGAGATTCGTTGAGATCACCACCAGTTTCCCTCCTTTCCTCCTTCTTCTCCCGTATCATCAACTCAGTGTCGTTCCGTGGCCGGCCATAGCCCCCTATTGGCCCAATACGTTTTGCGCGAACTGCCGACATAGCGGCGCACAGAGAACTCCGGAATTCCGAAGGCCCAACCCAGGTACGCGGCGGCCTGCGCCACGTGGCGGCCCCCGACGGCCTAACTTTTCGGGATCATCTCCACCACGGAGGAATTTTCCCGTAACCCGTCGCCCACAGTGTCCCGGCCCCTTCGGACCGTGAGACCCTTGCGCGCGCAACCCTCGTTCGCCTAATTGCATTCATACCCTTCAGACTCCCCCACTTCCCCCAAAAATCCTTGGCACACCCGTTTTCGCACTTCTAGGCTCATACTCCACTACGATCAGGAAGTCGTGCCGGGGGTGAGGTTGGTATCGGAGCCCGACACGTGGCTAGGGTCTTAGGATCGATAGCACGCTAATTAGGCGACCTGGCTAACCGTGGGCGACCTCGCCCCCGGAACGCGCATAGACGCGACCCTATCGTTACCCGAAGCAGATCGGCTAACCGACGAGCAGCCAACATGGCTGCCAATGTGCAGAACCCGGTTCAGCAACAAAATGCTAACCCAAATCAACCCGCCGCACGTGCACGAGCTCCCATGACGCCACCTAATCTCTATTTGTTTGATCCCACACACCATCTCGCAGGAGCATGGCTGGCCACACTTAGAGCCCAACAGTACACTGACAACGAAGCACAGATCAACATTCCAACTCGAATGGGAGGAGACACTCATCATTGTTTGAGTACCTATGTATGGGTGGATCTCCCGACCTTCGAACGGGACTTTATGAACCGATTCGATTATGTTCACCCTGAGCAAGCACTATACATGATGAAGGACCGAGTGCAAAAACTTCTCGAATCCGTTGCGGAATATCCAAACCGGTTCTACCGAATGTTCGTAAAAACTGAGCGAGGTGAGCAAGTAGGGAGAGATTTGTTCATCGACGGGCTCCGCAGCCGAACAATCAGGGCTAAGTTGTGAAAGCAATTTTCCCCCATCACTCATACGCTGCAACAAATTATGGCCGTTGCGGAAGAGATGGAACGGAAGTTCATGGCGAACTTCCTGGAAGGAGAAGACTGCCCTAGAGATGGAGATTCGACCGAGCTCGCTCGAGCAAGAGCAGAGTTGGCTGCTTTACAGAGCAAAATTTGAAAACATGGGGTTTGTATCAGGACCTGTCACCTATATGGAACAGATAGGCCCCAAACGAGTAATCCTAAGTGAGACTCCGAGCATCTCTGCTCCTATGATGCCCCCGCCCGTCAGGACATTACCCCCGCCGCCGGTTGAGGCTCCTGTACGATCAAACGAATCGGCCACCATTTTCGAACTAACCAAAACTTTGATTAGTTTGATCCAAGAAAGTAAAAAGGAGCAACGAGAACATAATGCTCGGCTGGAAGCCATGATGAGGAACATGCGACCCATTGCGGTGCGTGCCCCTCCGATGCAGCAAGAAGTAGCCTCAGCCCCTGCTCTCGGAGGAGTCGCAAATAATCCGAATGTCTGTTACGCCTGTCATCAGCCAGGCCATCTACCTCGTGATTGCCCCCACCGACCCTCGCAACAGCGGATCGGGGTCGCACCTATGGCTGCGGCCCCCATCGCTAACGGGCCTGGACGAGTCGGGGCCCTGATGGAAGAAATAGAGGGTGGAGGAAGTGCCCTGGCTACCTCGGAAGAGGCCACCGAACTAATCCCGCTAGATCAGTACGTATCGCTGGGATATCCTGGGCTTGGAATAATCGGAACGATCAGACCAGCGCCAGAACCAAACGAGGTGGCGGAGTGGCGACTGTCCCTAGGAGAGATGGAGTCGGGAGGACCCACCTTTGTCACAGGGGAGATCGATGTATTAAACATCATCCGAGCTTTGGACCATCGGATTCCCCTTCCGATCGGTCATTTGATCTCGATCTCTGAATAGGCGAACGAGCGAATGTTACAGCATTGCAAAGCGAACCGGAAGCGATTCGCCCTTGCCCGAACCCCGAACGCGAAAGCCAAAAGCCCCGCGCCTGAAGAAAACCCCACAAGTACTTCGGATCCGATACGGGTAGGTTTAATCCAGAAAGATGATCATTTTCTGCGGATTAAACCAATTCCGTGGAAATCCGCTGAGTGTGACATAGAAATTTGGGGAATTCTTTAGAATGCTATTATAGATTCGGGAGCGGCTGTGTTGGCTATCTCACTGAGAGTGGTCGAAAGGGCAGGCAAGAAAAACGACTTGATCACGCTTTCTGAGCTCGTTTCGGATGACGAAGAAAGAATTAAAACCGTGGGAAGAATGACCAATGTCGCTTTCCGATTGGGTAAAGTGCATGCGCTTGGGGATGTCGTAGTATTGGATGTCAATACGTACGACGTTCTCTTTGGACTTCCCGCTCTTGTGGCGTTACGAGCAAACCTGGACTTCGAACGACTATCGATCGTCCTCTGAAATACCGGAGGAAAACCCTACGCTGTGCCCATGCGATTGACCCTTCGCACTACTATTAACACAGTTCCGCGGGTTTCGCCGATAATGGCAGGGACTCTCCGCATGATCTCCTGGGAGAAATCCGCAGAAGGAGAGTCATCAACAGACGATGCGGAAAGCAGTGACGAGGATGATCCGGAGATCTTGAATTTAGCATGACAACGTGTTTGTTACCCGCCACCCAAAACGATAGCAAGAACGATGCAACTATTCAACCGAAAAATTCAAAGGACCAAGGCGATGATCTTGGGTGAGCCCCTCGTGCAGATTTCGAGGATGGTCGATTCTTTGGAACCCCCTATAACTCTGTACGAAGGAATCACCCCTCTCCTCGCGCGGTACAACGACAAGAAGCATTACTGGGACATTACGGATCTACCCAAGTCTTTACTAACTTCGGCTAAAGAAGTGAGATTGGTACGCTTGGGGGCGGAAGCAAGGTCTCGGGAACCCTCTGGGCGTTTTGAAGCGGAAATAGACGGACTGGGGATAAAGATCGCAACTAAGGTAGTGCCATGGCAGGATGTTTGTGACAGGATAACCCCGAAAGGACACGTGGCAGTCCGAGAAGAAGATGCTCAAATGATGGCCACGGTGTTCTCCTGGCGATCGGATCATTCATTCATCTCGGCGCCCCCACCCGATTTGACAAAACAGGCAAACACGAAACAAATTGACGTTCGGATCTAGGACCAACTGTTTGAACTGCACGTTTCACAATATGTGCCGGACGAAATCCACCGAGCAATTGCGGATATTCTAACGGAATATCAAGGAGCGATTAGTGTGTCAGACACTGACATTGGGTTGTCATTAGTAATCCAACACGAAATTGAAACAGGAAATCACACCCCGATTCATTGCAAACCTTATCGCTACTCCTTGATTGAACGCAAAACGGCTCTCGAACGAATTCGGGAGTTCGAAGTCAGCGGCTGGATTGAACCCGCTACCGGACCTTGGTCCTTTCCCGTAGTGTTAGTACCAAAGAAGAACAGGGCAATTCGCATTTGCATTGATTATCACAAGCTGAACGAAATCACGATCAAAGATGTGCATCCCCTCCCCCGGATTGATGATCTGTTGGATGCGATTGGATGCGATTGGATGCGCTAATTATCAAGTTTGATATTCGGCATGGCTTTCATCACATTCTGGTAAGGGAAAAAGATCGACCGAAAACGGTCTTTGTGTTGTTTGAGGGTACGTGGCAGTGGGTTCAGTGTCCGATAGGGATTTGCAATGCGCCTGCCATGTTTCAGCGAGCGATGAACATGACGTTCCAAAACTTCGTCAACAAAACATGGCTAATACAAGGAATGATTAACTTCTGCGTGATCGTGTATATGGACGACATCCTAGTCTATTCGGAAACCTATCACGGACTTGCGCAACGCATTGAATGGACATTGGGAGCATTGAGAGACGTTGGGTTCAAGATTGCGCTTGAGAAAAGCGAATTTTTCCTCTCGAAAATTTCGTTCTTAGGCTATGTCGTGACACGTGGAGGATTGAGGCCAGATTCGAGAAAAGTTGCGGCGGTGAAGGAAGCTCCGGTCCCTTCGTCATTGACGCAGGTTCGAGCCTTCTTGGGACTGGCGTCGTACTACCGGTGCTTCATCAAGGGTTTCGCCGCGATTGCACAACCACTAACGAATCTGCTACGGAAGGACCAGCCTCTCAGCTTGGACGCGGAGTGCCAGCAGGCCTTTGCAACCCTCAAGGACGCTCTGGCAAAGGCCCCTATTTTGATTTGACCGGACCCCTCGAAGCAGTTCATTCTCATCACGGACTGGCAACCGGAAGCTATTTCCGCTATCCTAGCGCAGAAGGGAACGATGGTCGCGAACAAGTCATCTAGTATGCGTCACGAACCGTACCGGACGAACGAAGGAACGACTCCGCACCTCAGGGTGAGTGTTATGCGGTAGTTTGGGGAATCCAATACTTCGATCCGTATCTCTACAGACAAAAGTTTCGCCTTGTAATGGATCACGAGCCTCTGCTGGCGCTGAAGAAACTCACCAACTACACGGGCATGATTGGCCGCTGGGTGGTGCGACTACAAGAATACGACTTCGATATCGTCAATCGAAAAACAGAGCGACACGGCAACGCAGACGGGCTGACACGTCTCCATCGACTTGCCAAGGTACCAAAGGGCGAGGAGATTACACCGTGGAAGGAGCCGGACCTGACTAACGAACCGAAGTACGGACAAGTGGCAGTTCTCCCACGTGGCAAGAAGCAAAACGGTGGCGATGGGTGATGAAGGTAACCCCACTACCCCTCTTTCTCCCCCTTCCTCCTCGTCTCTCCCCTCCCTGACTGACAAATTTTGCTATTTTTGAGAAGTCATCTCCCACGTCTATTCGGTCTCCATTCGTCCTAACGGAGTGGGATATACGGATTGGATAGATTGCCGACAGTCCGTTGCACGGGCCCACGGCTCGTGCATCCAATACCGGAACGATAGTAAACCATGGTTGTGCCCCTTGTGCCGGACCGACAAAATTCCGACCGAGGCTCGCTTTTTGGATGCCACGTCAGAAGGATTGGAAAAGACCCGAAGGTTTAGAAGGGTCGAAGTATGGACGGATATTGCCTTAATTGCCACCCTAGTAGGTAACCCCCTCCAGGATTTCACCAAGGAAGATCGGAGGAGGGCCAACGAAAGGGCTCGGGACTATCGATGGGTTGAAGGTAGACTAGAAAAATGGAAAACGGACGGTAGTGGAATTTGGATGGTAGTGCCGCATCCGTTCATGCGGTATGACTGGGTTAAGACAGCCCACGAAGAAACTGCGGCTCATTTTGCTGTACGAATCASGGAGTCCGCTATCGATAAAAATGAGTGGTACTGGTCCAATATCCGCGACGATGTGAAGTACATCGTCGCCACCTGTCAAGTCTGCGCCGCTGATAAAGCGTCGATTCAGCCACCAAGGTCGATAGTGCCCACGGTTGTTGAACGGCCATTTCAGAGAGTAAGCATAGACACTACCGACATAGTGGTGCCCCCTGGCCCTAATAGTTGCGAGTAATTAGTCCTACTTGTATTTGTCGACCATTTCTCGAAATGGATCGAAGCGTATCCTTGTCGCACGCGGCAAGCCACGGAAATCGTGCGATATGTCAACCGTTTCCTCGGGATGCATCAGGACACCGAAGAGATCCTGACCGACAACGGGGCTGAATTCAGGGGAGAGGTGTTAAGGAATCTAGTCCTACACGACGTCGCCTTACGGAACACATCACCCCACATGTCGCAATCTAATGGGCTGGTCGAAAACGCTAACCGGATGATAAAGACAGCGTTGCGACGAAACATCACGGCACGGGATCCGAGACCTTGGCCCAATATCGTCGATCACATCCTGGCGGTCCATCGCAGAACGCCCCACGAATCGACGGGGCTGAGCCCCTTCCAATTAAGGACCAATAATGTCGCTTGCATTTCGATACCAAGCCTCCCGGATGAGTCTACATTGAACCGACGGCCCACCAGGGCCATGGCTCGGGACAAGGCCAAACGACACCTAGAGTTAATGGAACAGTCGCTGCCCAGGCTAGCCCGAAAGCGACAGAAAATGACCGAACTAGCCCAGGGCCGACAGGTCCGGAGTTACGAGGCCCGAAATGGGAATGCGGGTCCGTGGCCCCAGTACAAACTGGGGGACGTAGTGCAGGTGAGGAAATGTGCTCGCCAGGGTAAGCTAGCGCCACGATTCTTCGGGCGGTACCGCGTGATTGAGCTCGGCCCCAACGACTTGGCCACTGTGCGTCTCGCCCCTGAAGTCTCCGGCAGCCAATCGGCGCGCCCGATCACCCGCCACGTGTCCTATCTTTGCCTCCTCCCCTCTTCTCCCTCCCCTTCTCCCTCGATCTCTCATTCTGAGGAAGCTGAAGACGACGACTCTGACTCTCCGCCATCTCCCTCTTCCTCCTGCTCCCCATCTGCCTCCCCGTCGCCCTCGCCATCGCCATGAGTTTTCTGGAGGAAAGAGCCCTCAGCGCAGCATCACTTGCTCCCCGTGATCGGTTGACGATCGGGCAAGTCCATCATCCCCGCCTCCGTCTAGACCTTCGGAGGCTTGCGCACTTCTTCTGCACGGAAGGCGTGTATGCAGCGGTAGTATTCAGAATCGAAGGCCGGCCTGACGCGGTGGTACTAGCCGAGGCGGTAGCAGTTCATCAGCGGGCGGTGCCAGGTGTCAGTCGCATATCGGTCGTCATCAACTTCAATGGCGATCTCTCCACACTTCTTCCTTTGCGACATTCGGCGGTGAAGACGTCACTGCGCGCGTGGGCGAACGATTTGGTCGCCGAGTGGACTCAGCTGCTGGCTCGTCCCGGAGATACAGTCGCAACGACATGAGCGATCGAGTACGACGGCCTTCGGATGTATCAGCGCAAGCCGCCAGCAGACATCCCTATCCTCGTTCCCTTCTCACGTCCCCAATGAGTCTCTCTCTGATCTCCACGTTTGATCTCCCCTCCACCTTCCCCACCTTCTGGCAGTCCGATATCCATCCTCGTCTTTCCTACTGTCTAAAGCCCCTCGCTGTCCCCGATATCCATCCTCCCCATTGGGTCCTGTGGCGCGAAGACTTCATCGAGCTTTCACTGTGTCTGGTGGAAGTACGGCTGACGTGGATCGAGGACGAAGCGCACCCGCCTTGCATAGAGTGCCTAAAGTTGCTGTTCATCCAGGCCTGGCGAACCAACGTGGAGGGAGAGCTTCTCGCGTTTCTATTCGGTACGGTGCGACCCGGTCACCAGGATCTCATCACGAAAGAGATCACGATCCCGGTAGCACAATTGGAAGACGATCTCCCTCTCGACATCATCTCGCAAGACGACGAGCATCCAGTTCCCCACGTGCTTTCTCGCACATTGACGCCTTATCTTCAGTGGTCGGCTTGCGTAGAAGGAACCGCAGAGCGCATCCCGCCGTCGCAGCAACAATACCTGGATCCCCGGACGGCTCGCGATCCTGCCTTCTTCAGGCATCCTACGGCGGAGCAGCTTGCGGCCATTCGAGAAGAAGAGGAGGAGGAAGAGAGTATCAGGAGTGACGAAGATGACGACGGACTGGAAGAAGGCGAGAACCGCGACGAAGAGCTCGGGGAAGAAGACGAAACCCCCGAGGAAGGAAGCTATAGCGAGCATGGCGAGGGGGAACAGAGCGAAGAAGAAGAAGAAAGCGAGAAAGGAGAAGAGGAGCACGACGAAGAGCCTGCTGGATCGGAGTCGGAAGTCGTGCCAGAAGAAGCGCTACGTACGGGTACGGAGGCTGAGGATCCCAAGGCAGCCCGCAAAAGAGAAGAGATTACGACCGGGAAGAAGGAGTTGGAATTCGCAAGCGCGGCGAGTCTGCGCACTCACGACGACCTAAGCCGGGATCCGGAGCCCCCCCGGCCTGAAGATGGCGACCTCGCGGCCACGACTCCGACCCCGTCAGCGCTGCGACGAAGCCGATCCCCCTCCTCCGCAACCCGTCCCCCAGTTCGCCGACGTATCGATACGGGCAATCGGTCTTCGTCCCCAATCACTCTCTCGCCGTCCCCTTGACTACCTCACCCTCCGCCAGCTCACCACCCCCATCACGTTCCCCTCCAATCCGTTTCCCCGCGCCACCTTCCGCCACTTCTACGTTGCTCGCCTTGCTACAGTGGTGCACCCCCACCCCTCCATTCGATGCGCCGTCCCAGCCTTCTGCCTCCATGTCCTGCTCCTTAGTGCCGCGTGGCGAGGCCACAACATGATCGAGGTCTACTGCGTGGTAACGGGGACCATCCCCCCATGCGATGATCGCGATCGTTTTCGCGTGGCACTCTTCCGGACTCTCACCACCCTCTATCCTAATTACCTCATATGAGTCATATCCCTCCCTCGCACTGGCAATCGCTTCCCCCGCTTTCACCGCATCGTTCGCTACCAAGAGCTTCCGGAAACTGTAGCCAGAATGTAAAGCTTTCTGCCCCCGCTACCCACAGACCCTCCACCCCGCCATGCTGCCATGCACCGACTCCCCTTCCCCCTTCCAGTTAATTACTGATGCATCGGTAATAGACGTGTGTTGCGGCGACGGCACGAGAAAGATCCCGTCCTTGGATCGTCGAAGAACACAATCAAAGGAACTAGTAGAAGAGCAGAGTCGCCACGTTGGATAACGTCCACACGCAATTGAACGGTAAGTGGCATACAAAGAATTGCTCCGCGTGTCGATCAATTAGAGAAATCGACACGTGTCAACAAGCAAGCAGGAGCTTGCTAATATTGGAACCCCCTGGGCGTCACATATGTGACGAACTACTTTCTGTAACGCGCGATTTTCTGCGTGGTTGCAATGAGGGGTCCTAAGCTGGGAAGATTGGGCCAATTACGGGAGATCGGGATCGGTGGAGAATTGCATAAGTGTCCTTGCTTTTTCGTCATTTTTCGTCGTTTCTTTTCCGAATGGCCGGGCACGGGGTCAGGTGTGTCTTGGGACGGCCGGTTGATTGATTGGTCGGATGGTTGTTTGGCGCGATGCTACGCGCGCGCACAATTAATAAATGTTGACGTCGTTTCTTTCGGTTCGGTTTCGATCTTTTCGGACGTGGAAGTCGCGCGGAAAATTGCTTCGTTCTTTTTGAATTTCCTTTTAAATCTTTTTCGAATTTTGTCGAGCCCCCGATGGCTCTCGGAATTTCGGAACTTCCTTCTAGAACTTGCGCTTCTTTTTTGCTTTTTCGCAACAGATAGGAATTTAGGAATTTGGTAATTAGGATTTTTCTTGTCGCGGGGCGCCTTTTGTTTACGCGCTTCCTCATGCGGCTGCAACGGCACTCTGATTAGTGGGTGCCCTTAATCGTATGTGTAACTGTAATTTTGGGCGGGCGCCATTGTAACTGTATCTCTCTTCTTGCACTTCGTCTCTCCCGCCCTCCCTCTCTTTCTTTTGCTGAAATTTTGTAAGCCGCGGCTTGCATGCTTGGATCGATGCGTGGAGAAGGGTTACGTCCCCCACGGCGCGGCCGATCATGCAGAACGCAGGCGTTCCCTCTCTAATCCTCACTCTAAGTCCTAGTAATTCCGTGTTCTTCGCGCATGCATGCACGCTATAAATTTTGGCTGCGCGATTAGT